CTCCCCCAAACTCCACCAGAAATGAGTCTTTGTGAGACTTGTTGCACTGGCGCAGCCTCTTGGAGCAGGATGCCTTGCAGGGTCCCAAAGACTCATTTCTGGTGGAGTTTGGGGGAGAGAAAGAAAGACTTCTGCTGCTTTCCTTGCATGCAGCCAAAAGCAGAAGAAAAAAGAAGTGGAAAGAAGCAACCCAGTGGCCAGGCAAGGTGCATGGGGCAAGTGGGGCAAGTTCCCCTCCTCCGCCTTTTTCCCACTCCCCTCACTACCTTGTGTTGATCGCAATGCAAGCAACACAAGCCTTGTGTTCCTGTGGGCCATGTGGGCGGCCTAGCCTTGTGTTCTTACGCAGCCTGGATTAATTGCTTTGGGGGGTGATTGTGGGTGACACTTCTCTGCGGACCACCAAAATTTTCTCGTGGACCACCAGTGGTCCCCGGCCCACTGGTTGGTGACCACTACCTCCTGTATAGACATCTGTAACTCTGTAAACTGCGCTGATGTTCTCATTACCTTCAGTTTTGGTTGCCATGATATAAAAAAAAATGTTGAGACTCAAGAAAGAGTGCAGAGAAGAGCAACAAAGGCTAAAACATATGAAGAATGGTTGCAGGAATTGGGTGTGTCTGGTTTAATGGAAAGAAGGACTAGGGGTGACATGATAGCAGTGTTTCAATATCTAAAGGGTTGCCACAAAGAAGAGGGAGTCGAGCTGTTCTCCAAAACACCTGAGGGCAGGACGAGAAGCAATGGGTGGAAACTAATCAAGGAGAGAAGCAACTTAGAACTAAGGAGAAATTTCCTGACAGCTAGAACAATTAATAAGTGGAACAACTTGTCTCTAGAAGTCATGGGTATACTAACATGAGAGGTTTTTACGAAGAGATTGGACAACTCTCTAAACTGCTCTGAAGATTTATCTGAAATGGTATAGCATTTCCTGCTTAAATAGGGGGTTAGACAAGAAGACTGCCAAGGTAATTTCTGTTATTCTGTTTCAACTGCCAGTCAGGTTTGTTGTATTTTCTATATAAATTGGGAAAAACTTGGTCTTCAGTTCAGGAATCAAATTATACTTATGTAAGATACATGGATACTCCTTATGAAATTTACAAAGTAGAATGTAAATGAAATGAAATATTAATATTATGCTTATTGATAGATTTACTTGTTATTTCTTTTATTTTACTATATATAGTATCTTTAAAATTAAGAGGAAGAATTGAAATAATATGTGATATATGATCCATGCATACACTGCACAAAATAAAGTTGTGTAAATATAATCCATACATTTTTTAAAATTAATGATTAATAAGGCTTCACCAAATCCATTTTCACATTTCAAAATATCTGCACAACCTTAAGGACTAAAGTCCAATATATTTTAAAAATAAAACAAGTTTAAACAAATCTTTTAAACAATTTACAATTTTTATGGTTCTCATATATATGTTGTAAGAATTCTGCACAATGCAGTATAACCTTTATTTTTCTTTCTGCATTTTTTCCAATCAGAAATGTTTTTGATGCATCACCTTAGACCAATGGTAATTCACTCCCATTCCGTGAACCAGCACCTGATCACAGCGAGCCAGAAACTGGGCCACGCAAAGCAAGTGAAACCCCCTCTGTGGGATGCAGAGAAATTACACCTCCTCCAATTCACAGAAAAACCTCTCTCCACAGAACCAGTCCCTGGTGCCCCAAAAACTGGGGGCCTCTGTCTTGAGATATCTTTCTATGGATATGCACAATACAGAAAATGCATTGCTTTGAAGTCAAAACATATACTGTGCTTTGAAAGTTTTACACATTCATGGTGAACTGCACTTCAGATGAACTGAAACCTGGAGTGTTTTGGTTGTTCCTGGTTTTGGCTAAAACAAAATCCAAAATAATCTTAAGACACAAGTAGGGCAAGATTCTCAAGCACTTAGTCTTTGACATTTCTGCTTTTCCTGCCTTTCTCTCCAAACCCTTTTGTTGGAATGTGCATTCTTCGACGCTATATTAAAAAAACCCCACAAATGTATTGTTTCAGGCATAAACAGTCTAAAACTGGAGATTCCATTCATGAGACAGTCCTATACAGTCCTATATCCATTCACGTCCTATACAGGGGTAGGATTCAAAAATTTTAACAACCGGTTATGTGGGCGTGGCTTGGTGAGTATGGCTTGGTGGCCATGTGACTGGGTGACTCAAAAGAGAGAAACTCACTTTAACAATGCTCTTGGAGCAGGAGGTTGGACTAGATGACCTCCAACATCCCTTCCAGCCCTGGATTGCTATGCTGTTTCAAAGCATCCTCTGAAGCTGTGTCTAGTGCCAGGGTTTGTGGTCCTTCCTTCCTCTCCTTTTTCTCTCCCTCCTTCCATCTCTCTATCCATCCATATCTCATTCACTTTCCCTACCCTCCTTCTCCCTTCCCCTCCCTTTCTTTCTCCCTTGCCCCCCCTTTTTTCTTTCTTTCTTCATTCTCATTCTTTCTCCCCTCCTTCCCTTTCTTTCTCCCTTCCCGGCCTCCCTCTTTCTCTTTCTCCCCCTTTCTTTCTTTCTCCCTTCTCTTTCTTTCTTTCTTTCTTTCTTTCTTTCTTTCTTTCTTTCTTTCTTTCTTTCTTTCTTTCTTTCTTTCTTTCTTTCTTTCTTCTTTCTTTCTTTCTTTCTTTCTTTCTTTCTTTCTTTCTCTTCCTTCCTTCCTTCCTTCCCTCCCTTTCTTTCTTTCTCTTTCTTTCTCCCTTTCCTCCCTTTCTTTCTCCCATCTCTCCCTCCCTCTTTCTTTTTCTTTCTTTCTTTCGCACCCCATTTTTGCTCCCAGGAGGCTCCAGGGAGACTTACTAGGTCCAAAACAGGGTGCTGGGGTGCAGTGCACCCCCTCCGTGCCCCATTTTGGGCCTAGAAAGCCTCCCTGGAGCCTCAGGAGAACCAAAATGGGGCATGGGGGGGTCTGCACAGCCCCACACCCTGTTTGGGCCTAGGAGGTCTCCTTGCACTTACCTGGAACCCAGAATCAGGCTCATGGGGACTCCTGGAGGGGAGGGGCAGGGTGAGGTAGGGCCAGCTGGTCTTCAGAACTACCGGTTCACTGAACTGGATGTAAAATTAACATCGGGTTCGCCTGAAACTGGCTGAATCCCACCCCTGATCCTAAATTTCCTATTCTCTCATTTCTAAATCCAGGACACTGTTGTCACATTGTCTTGGTTCTTCAATAAAAATTATAGCATTGATCTTACCTTTCTGAATCATCACTATGATCTCACATTTTTAAATAATAAACTTCCCCTTGCCTTGGGAAGCTGCAGCAGACTGCACTTACTTCTTCTGACATTTTCACAATGGTTCAGATTGATTTGAATGAATTGGGAGCAGTAGCCCTACTGAGATCAATTACCAGTTTCCTAATCCCACTTTAGGTGGATACGTTTAATTTCAAGGTTCTGAAAGAAGACACAGATAGATTCTATCATGGCAAATGATATAATCCAGACAACTGAGAGAAATGGCTTTATGGGGCCAGAATGTGGTTTGGAGCACTGTGAACTCCAAATCATATTGTACTGTAATGATAACATTAAATAAATATTGCAGAAATGTTTTCTGATATTAGCATTTCAGATCAATGCTATATAGCAATCTGTATAGGATACATAGCAGTACACTATTGTTCCATTTATTGTATGTCTTACAGCAATTTTGTAAGAAATATTTAGTTAAGAGAGAAAAGGATTTGTGCTGCAGCATCTAAAAAGTGACTTGCATAGTACAATCCAGATATCATGGACCATAGCCCCCATATTTTCCTATCAGTAGGTAGAAACTATGGCTGTTAGAGCCCAACACATGTAGATAGCATATTGGCCATATTTACAATCTCCTTTATACTCATCTGTTTAATTCAGAAAGTCAGGATGCAGACTGCAGAAGATCACTGAACGTATCATGGGTTTACACATCTGATTAACTAAAATAGCTAATTAATGCAAATGAATCTGCTTTGGCTATTGGCTCCTTTCCTGAATATTGTCATTAGATTCTTTAGTAGGATCTGGACAGAAATATTCCTTGTTCTGAGTTTGGATTTCACATTTAACTGTAAACAAATTGCAAGCATATGGTTTGTAGGTCACACAGTTTGGGCAGAGCCAGGAGCTGTGAATGGATACATTAACATTAACCAAATTTCTTCAAATGTTTCCATATCTTCTCTGTTCTTAACTTCATAAAGCTATTAATGAGATACTATATTTGTTTAAACTTACTTATATGAATTTTCATACTATTCTGATAATCAGCATTGTAATATTTTATGCTCAACTGTTTCTTTGCATATATGTATGTATATCTGCATCACGTTTTATTTAGTGTACCCACAATATAGGCGTGGAAACTATAGAGTTTTTACAATAAACAAGCATCTCACCTGTTCAGTGTTGTCTTTAAGCAGCCTTTGATATGTTTATTTGTAACTCCTTCCTGAAGTTTATTATTGTCCAATGATGATGCAGTTCCCTTTTTATGACAAATCAAAACATAATTTTTACTGTTATTGTTTGACCAAAATATTCCCACAGATGTCTCATATCGTATGCAAAATTCAACTTTAGCACCTTCTTTCTGATAAGGAGGAACCAATGAAATCTTGAATAAGAATTGGTCAGTCTCACCATCACAAGAATTTGGCACATATTCTGCTAAGATGTCATAATAAGTTAGCCAGTTGTCCAAAGACATTCGAACATAGACCAACTTCTGAAAGGTTATATTCAGAACACGAATTATGCCCTTCATACATATTACGCCTGGAAGAAACTCTACAAACTCTAAACATATTTTATGTGCACGCACAGTTTGCAAAAGTTCCTCTTGTGTGGTGGGAATTAGAAACAATGGAGTTAAATAGAATTCATCCACAGGCACATCTTCATCTTCTAAATCATCACTGGGCTGTGTAATTGGATTATCCCAGCTATCAAACTCTTTAACAGATACAAGATCAAAACCAAATGCATCAGCAAACGAAACTTTTCTTGCAGTAGTTGAGGGGATTTCTGCTTCCGTTTCTTCAGAAGAATCTGAATTCCGCCTTCGGGGAGCAGGGGAGAAACGATGCTGATGTGTAGCTTTAACATCTTCTTCTTCTGAAAAACAATTACTTAAAGTAGGAACTTCTAATAAGTTCTCCCTACCAATATGACCAGGTTCTTCAAAAGACTCCATTGGGTTCTCTGATAGAATCTGAAAGAGAGCAGTCTGTGTAGTGGCAGCTGATATTTGAAACTCTGTGATTTGAAACAAGGATTACTATTACAGTTGACACTGCAAAAGGAGCCTTGGCCTATTAATAGGATCAATGGCTTTTTAAATATGTTAGGCCATTATGTTGGTCTATGACTGCTATAAAGACTTTATATGATACATAAGCCACTCTCCAAAGGCCTGTAAAGGAAGACTGTTGCAAAGAAACGATAGTGAAGATATTCTCCTGTGATTAATATGAAGGTCTGAATCTTTGTTATTATAAGATAGTAACTATTCCACAATATAACAAACAACAGATGGAAAATCAAAAGCACAAAAATAAAAGCATAGACTGCCACACTGGGGGATATTTATCAAAGTTTTCTAATATGCATGAGATTTCTATTTGTGTCAAATTACAAAAGAAATAAAATATGCACTTTGACCTTCCATGCATTGAATATCTGATTTTAAAGCAGGGAGTCAATATTTACAATTGGTGAACAATGCCTAATAAACACTGAACATGAAGAATTTAGAATAATAATAAAGCACCTGCCATATAACACCCAAGACTTAACAACTGTAGATAAGAAAGACAAAAAAGTCTGAGTAGTGGAAGTTGCAGTACCTGAAGCAGCAGATTAGAGGAAAAAGAACTGGGGGAAAAAAAATCACAAGATACAAAAACCTGAAAATATAAATAGAATGTTTGTGGCAAAGAAAACAAAAATAGTACCAATACTAATAGGTGCCTTGGGTGCAATCCCCAAAACCTCTGGAGCACCACTGAAACACCATTGGCCTCTGCAAAATCATAATCAGTCAATTGTGAAAGTGTTTTACTGGGAAAAGTTTACAGCCTGTGATGATAGCTTTAATCAAACAATATCTGCCTATGTTAGACCCTGGTTAAGGACTTCATTGGTGGAAAAAAATGATAAACAATCTACAAACACAGGCTGACTGTGTGACCAACCATAATATACCATGTTTCCCTGAAAATAAGACCTAACCAGAAAATAAGCCTTAGCTGATTTTTTTAGCATTCTCCTGATATAAGTCCTACCCCCCAAATAAGCCCCAGTTAGGGTCACATCAGCCAGGTGGATAGGTGAGTGGGCATGGCCAGTACCAGAGGTGGCAAAGGTGAGGAGGCCGATGGTGTCCGGCAGCAGCCACAGCCTGCATAGTGCAGGTGAGTTGTTTACCAAGCAGCAGGTGGAGGCAGAGGCATGGGAGAGGCAGGTGATCTGGATGCACCATGTAGGCCGCAGGCAAGCCAAGAGATAGTGGGACAGAGTGGGCAGCCAGGTGTGTCGGGGCTCGTAGCCCACACATTTTATTTAATATTTATTGTTATATTTATTTATTTTACTGGATGCTAGCATCATTACATGAGTGGTCTTTTGAATAAATTATGGTAAAACTATCTCTTCCTAAATATGATTTCTCTTGTTAAGTCAAAATCTTTTAAATTTCAATACGTAGAAATTCTTAGTTTCGATATATATATATAAATACAAAAATAATTATTTTTATTTCCAGAAGTTTTACCTAATTCTAATGTGCATGATTATGTGCCAGAAAATTTTTCTCAACAGCGGTGACCATCTAGATTTTAACATAAATAAGTTGTTTTTTAAATTATTTTAACCACCCTTTCAAAATCGCCATTATAATCACTTTACCTTTAAATTTATTCTTAAATATAGATGTCATCATTCAGTTAAGAAATGCATTTTCAATCTGATATTTTAGAAATGTCAGCAGATATAGTTATTATTAAAATAAGAAAAAAGGCTTAGACCCTTGCTGAAGTCCAAGTATATTATGTCCACAGTATTTTGCTGGTCTACTAATTTAGTCACTATATTGAAGAATGAAATAAGATTGGGATCTGTTTTTAAGAAACCCATGCTGATTGCTAGTTACTATTTTACTAATTTCAGATCTGTTTTTTTATTATCTTTCCAGTATCTTCTCAGGTATTGCTGTTAGCCTGTGGTTTCCTGGGTCTGTTTCCCCCTCCCCCCTTTTTTTTGAAGATGGGAAACACATCAGCTCTTTTCCAGTCCTCGGGTAGTTCCCCGGTGCTCCAGGATTTTTGAAAGATATGACGCAGTGGTTCTGAGATGACCTCTGCCAGCTCCTTTAAAACTCTGGGATGTAATCCATCAGGCCCTGGTGATCCACCACCTCATCCACCACCTCATCTTTTAAAGTACATTCCACATTGAAATTAGTCTCAAAGCTAAATTCCAGATATAGAAGTATCCCAATATTCACTATCTTATGGCAGACACTAAGAACAGAATGTCAAATGAGTGAATCAATCCAAAGTCTTCAATTCCTTTTACCAAGAAAATATTTTGGGATGTATGTGTTTGTGTGTGGATATACACACAATTCCTTTCTCACTATAAAGAAGGCTGGAGATAATTCCTCCCCCCAGCTAGTTTAGAAATGGACAGAAGAAATGCCAAGTGACTGACAAAAATAGCTTTGATTGCAGTCATACTGACTACTATAAATAGCATATTCCACTTGTTCTATCCTATTTTATCCTATTTTGCTTGGAGGTAAAAGTTGATATTTAATTTAAGAAAAAAATACAATTCAATCTCCTGGTGAATATAATAGTTTATAATTCAGCGGCGGAGCATTTTTTGAAAGTTTAACCCTCTATGTTTTTAACAGAAAATGACCATATTACAAATAATTATAATAATTATTTGTCACAATTTAGTTTAGATCAGAGGTGTCAAACTAAAGGCTCGGGGGCTGCATTTGGCCCGCAGGGTACTTAAATCCGACCCGTAGTGCTGGCCCGGAAACAGCAAAGGACCAGGCCCCGGGGCCTCTGCCAGTGAAAACAGAGTTCACGGGGGGTGCCCCCAGACTCTGTTTTCGCTGGCAGAGGACTATCAAAACAAACTAAAAACAAAACAAAAGGAGAAGTGTTTCCCCTTTTGCATTTGAGCATGCAAGAAGGGACAGGAAAGGAGAAAGGGAAAAAGGAAAGACAACAAAAAAGAGGGAAAGATGGGAAGTGAGCAAGGAAGGAAAAATAAGGAAATAGGGGAAGAAAGAAGAAAGAAGAAGGAAGAAGGAAGGGGAAAAAAGGAAAGGAAGGAAGGAAGGAAGGAAGGAAGGAAGGAAGGAAGGAAGGAAGGAAGGAAGGAAGGAAGGAAGGAAGGAAGGAAGGAAGATCATAATGAGAGTGAGGGAGGGTCTCAGCAAAATCCTGCCTTAGCACTTGGCCACCACAGATGCCCCCGACACAAGTCCCATGTCACGCCCACCATGGCCATGCCACCCCCAGACACGCCGCATCACACACACCCTAGCCCTCCAAGGTCAAACACAACCCTGATGCGGCCCTCAATGAAATCGAGTTTGACACTCCTGGTTTAAAATCTTATATCAAACTCCAGTTCCATCAGTTCCATCAGGGTAAAATCCGCTATTGCTTATAATGCATGTATTATGTTATACATAGTAACAATAATCTTAGAAAACTAGCAGCATAATAGTGATCATCATCATCTTCATATTGGATTACTACAATACACTCTCCATGGAGCTGCCCTTGAAGTGTATCCATTTTAACTGTTGCAGAATGCAGCAATGCTGACTGTTATGCATGCTCCTAGAAACTTTCACAAGTTGCATTAGCTGCCAGTTTGTTTCTGGGTCGAATTCAATGTGCTTTAATGTGGGTCCAATTCAATGTGCTTCCTGTCATGAGACTAGTTTTCTGAGCTGATTACATCAACTGATTCAATCTGGCAGGCAAGACATCAACCACCAGGACTTATATTTGGTCTCAGGAAGCAGGCCTTCTTTGTTGTAACGTCCATCTTATTTTCTCCCTTGAAATCAGGTTAAATCCAACCCTGCTATTGTTTCAGAAGTCCCTTAAGACCTGGTTATATACAAAGTCTGAGAGTCCCAGGGAATTGCAGGCATTCTGAACTGGCTCCATTGCTGTTGATATTTTTCTCTGTCCATGTGGTTTGTATATTTTAATGTTTTATATTTTTTTCCTTTTTCATAATGATTGCTTAATTTTTATGACTGTTTTTATATATCTGTGATTTTATTTCATTATTGTATGTTGCCTAGAATGAGATTATTGTTGTTGTGTCCGACCCATCGCGACCCCATGGACAACATTCCTCCAGGCCTTCCTGTCCTCTACCATCTCCCAAAGTTCATTTAAGCTCATACCGACTGCTTCAGTGACTCCATCCAGCCACCTCATTCTGTGCCATCCCCTTCTTTTTTGCCCTCAATCATTCTCAGCATTAGGCTCTTCTCCAGTGAGTCCTTCCTTTCATTAGGTGGCTACATCATTAAATAAACCCAGTAAGTTTAAATGATTCAGGACTTTCTAAGAATATTAAATTAACTTTATTTGGTACCAAAAAGGTTATATAACAGCACTAAAAAAATCCGTTTAGAAGAGGCATTTCCATAAATAGGACACTGTATTGACCAATCATTTCTTTTAAAGCCGTCTGCTGTTCCTCCCTAATCTACTGTCTAAGATAAATCTATCAGGTAAATGCAGGCAGGTACACTCTCTCAGGGAAACCTGTCCTAAAGCTCCAGTTCCCATTTTGATTGACATTGTTTCAATATAGTTTACCAGATGGTGTTACACACCTTTCAAAGAGACAATAAAAAGGCTAAGAAGGAAACAAAAAGACCAGAAGATGCTCTCTTCAGCAGCTAACACCCAGATAAGCAAGTATGGACATAAGATAAACAGTCAAGCAGATAATAATATTCTAATTGAGGATCTAAGCAGACAAACAAGTAAACAGACAAACCATCAAACATAAAATAATATCCTAATAAAGGAACTAGCAGAAAGAAAACCATATCCCAATAGTGGCTGGGCAAGCTATTATATATAAATAGGGAGCAAACACCACACTCACAGACATTGATAATGTAGGACTTCCAGTTCCAGTTGCAGCGGTATCAGTGGCAGGAATCAT